AGATAGACAGACAGACAGACAGACAGACAGACAGACAGACAGACAGACAGACAGATAGATAGATAGATAGATAGATAGATAGATAGATAGATAGATAGATAGATAGATAGATAGATAGATAGATAGATAGATAGATAGAACATGTAATGTACAGGCAGAAAGACATGTACATTGGAGGAAAGAAAGAGAGTGAGAGGCAAAGAATATTAAACACAGATGCGAGAAGCAGAGGTAGACACTGAGCGAGGACCTCACTGTATAACCTCCTTGACACTGAGAGGAGAGAGAGACAGACAGTCCACCAACCTTCTCCTACATTTCCCTGCACACGGATTCTTGCACCGGCGGCAGTATCTGCTAATGAAGTAAGCAGTCAGGCCCAGCCACACCAGGCCGCCAATGATGGCCGGGATCATCCAGCCAAGGAGAGAGCTCAGACCGCCGCCCCCACTACCTCCAGAGCCAGTGCCGCCGCCCCCTGTGGTAGGAGGTACTGTGGCGGCCGGCGGGGCGGCTGTTGGTGCAGCTGTCACTGGGGGTGGAGGGGGTGGGCAGGGCTGGGGAGAACAAGAACAAGAAGTAGAAGGTGTGAGTAGATGGACAAATAGATTAATTAAGATTACCCCCAAACTAAAGCAAAACCCACGAATCAAGACTTGTGGGGTTCCGTTGTCGGCAGGCATGCCTCCCCGTCTTTTAGGATGTTTGCAGTGTTTTTGTTTGTTTGTTTGTGTGTTTGTTTTGTTTTGGGGGGTTTTTTTGCTTTTGTTGGGGGACGGGTATTGGCGGGGTGGTTGCTTTTTCTTTGTTTGTTTGGTTGCTTTTTGAAAAATTGTTTGTTTGTGTTGTTGCTTTTATTTTGAAAGATGGAGGGTTGGTGGGGGGGTTGGTTTCAAGCTTAGCAGAATAAACTAAAAAAATCTACAGTTGTGAGATTTTGAATATTTATTATGGACCTTTGCTTACGTGTGTCTTAACTTACTGTGTATCAAATCGATTACTAAAGCTGAGTTTCCTGCTGTGGAAGCAACAAGCAACCAGGAAAAGAAAAGTATGCTAAACCATTAATAATCTTCTTTAATGAGGCAACACCCATGCCATCCGTGTCTTAGTGCTATTTTACATTAAAATGAGTGGGTGGTTGGCGGGTGCTCTGGTGTGGTTTGCTCCTTCTTTCCTATCAAACATCTATCGTCCTGATCTCTCCTTCTTCTTTTTTGTGTTTGTTACTCTCTTGTAACACCTCCAATCTTCGGCACTTATATGACCTTATTGTGTTGCAAGTGCCGTAAAACTCTTGCTAAAAAAAACAAAAAACCCCCACTAAAATGACACGAAATGCTTACCCCGCATACAACAGAAATAGTGGCGGACGTGCCAGAGAGGGGACCGGGGTAGATGCCCAGGTCGTGAATGGTAGCCACGCCTGTGGAAGGTGAGGTACATTGAACACATACTTCTTTTAAAAGACTACGATTCGTAGAATATCTCTCTCTGTCCTCTCTCTCTCTCTCTCTCTCTCTCTCTCTCTCTCTCTCT